CTCTTTCCACAGACTCTGTGGCCTTGCTTTTCTCTAGGCCCTTGGCTGAGTCCCTCTTTCCCCCTGGGGAATTGCCAGGGGGAATCTCCTGCCTTTTCACTTGCCTTCTTCTAGCCCCTGTGTGGTTCCCTCATCAGTTGATTTTTGGCCAGGCATTAGCATTGGTTAAGACAAGGGTGTGGCCGACATTCAGCTCCCCCAGCACTGCTCTTTGGAAGCTTGAAGGACCCAGCTCGTAAGAGGGCACAGGTCTGGGGAAGGGGGCCTCCCTGGCCCTCTTCCCAGAGCCCCCAATGGAGGGGGGCCCAGCCCAGGGTGTGTGAGCACACAGTGGTTCTGGATGAAGAGGGTTAAGGAAGCCGGGAATGGAGCTTGGCTGGAGAGTCCGGAAGCTGGTGGTTCAGACTGAAGAGATTTGGAGAACCTACGCTGCCTTTGTTGGCAGTTCTTAAAATGTGGCTCCTGGAGCTGCCCTTCCCTCTCACCATCTGTCCCGAGGCTGCTCTGTGTGGGTGGAGGACAAGTATGCTTTAGGAGACGTGTGTTAGGTGCAGCCTAGGCAGAAGCCCCAGTTCTCTCCCCGAGCCACCCATGTGGACACGCTCAGCTGGGATCTTAACATCATTGAAGACCTGGCCAGCCAGTGTTCACAGCCCCAGGCCTGGGAGTTGACCTCTGCCTCCTCAGTCTGGGTGGGGGATAGAGGGATGCCTTCTTGCTCCCGCCCAGGGGACTAGGCTATGGTGGGGCTCACTTCCCACCTCCCAGGTTGGAGCAGCCACCAGCCTCCTGCCCTAGGTCCGGTCTCCTGCCTCCCCACCTCCACCCCCTGTGCCTCCCTGCACAGATTGGCAGGGAGGATTGACAGCTCAGATTGCTCAGGGCAGTATCTCCAGCCTGTCCATCTCAGCCCTTTTGGGGACCTATGAGAAAAAACCGAGGCCCGAGGAAGATAACTGACTGGTTCCTGGCCTTCCGGTAGGTCTGCATAAAAGCCAGACTCTCTCGGGTCTCTTTTCTCTCTTCTTGGAGTCTTTTTTTCCCCCTTCCTTTTTTACCCCAAATCCTCCCTCTGCCCTATGGCAGAAGGTGATCCAATGCAGAGATGTTACTATGGAAAGAAGGATTAGTAGACCAGCACAGTTAGCTGTGTGACCTTGCCTCAGTCTCTTAACCTCTCTTGTTTCTCTTCTGTCCAACAGGAAAAGCAGTGATTATATTCAGGGAGAACAGAGCAGAGTAGCCTGTGGGTCATTGCAGAGTTGTTTGAGCTAAAGTTTTCAAAAGAAAAGAGGAATAGAACTCAAACAAGGGGTTGGGGGGCTGTGGCACCTGGGTGGCTCAGTCAGTTAAGTTTCTGCCTTTGGCTCAGGTCATGATCCCAGGGTGCTGGGGTGGAGCCCAGGATTGGGCTCTCCACTCAGCAGAGTCTTGTCTCTCTCCACCCTACCCCCACTCATGCTTTCTCTCAATGGCTCTCTCAAATAAATAAATAAAAATCTTTTTAAAAATGAGCTCAAATAAGTCAGAGGAAGGATAAATGTTAGCTTGAGGGTTTTCTTGACAGTGATCCCTAAGGATTTTGCCCTCTTTAGAAGTAACCCAAAGGGGACAAAAGGGACTCATTCCCTAAAGATTGATTTTGGCCTGTGAAGAACTGCTGCCTCTCTACTCCAGTGATGCTGTCTTCTCCTGGATGTCCCCACCTGTCCTCACCAGAAAGGAGGTGAGGGTTTGAGTGTGAGAGCATAGGACCCCTTCTTTCTCCTCAACCCCCCACTCCAGCTCCATACACTCTATGGGGGTGCCTAGTGTGTAGTACTAGGGTCCTAGGAAAGGGCCACCCCTTTCCTCACTGTGTCCAGCTGCTACTAGACAGGCAGGAAGGCTTAGGACCCTCCAGTCCTGGGAGCTGTGGCCCAGGATGTGGCGCCCCCTGCAGGTTGTGGCAGGAGCGGTGGCATCTGTGAGATGCTCACAAATGGACAACTGGATGCCCAGTTTACCCAGGCACAGCCTCCTGATCAGGGAGGCCCTCATCACTTTTCTTTCTTTCTTTTTTTTTAAGGTTTTATTTATTTATTTGAGAGAGAGAGTGAGTGAGAGCCCAGGGTGGTGGAAGACAAGAGGAGGAGCAGACTCCCCACTGAGCAGGGAGCCTAACATGGGACAAGGTCCCAAGGACCCTGGGATCATGACCTGAGCCAAAGACAGACCCTCAACTGACTGAGTCACCCAGGTGCCCCACTTCAATTTCCTGTAACTCGTATTCTTTTAAAAAATAATAAACAGGGCTAATGAATTATAGTATATTCTAAACGTTTACTTGGAATAGAGTAATGCTTTTCACACCCACCTGGCAGTGTGATTGTGCTATTCACAAGATAACAGATTCTGGAAAACAGCAAAACAAACCATAGAGCACTGAAGGCTGGAAGTGAGACGCTGGTTTGCACTTGTTTGATGAGTGTGTCATTTTGACTCTCTCTGTTTTCCTGGATCATATGTTAGCCTTACTTGGGAGAAGGTCAAGACTTTCGATTTGAGGAGGCTTTTGGGATGGTGGCATCCTAGTGCCAGGCCTGGCCATGGGGTCTCCACACGTGGCTCTTTAGGGTCTGGATGTGCCCAGGGCTCTCTCCAAGGTGGCCCACAGAGGAGAGCAGGTGCTTGGATGTACTACACACGGGATGGAGAGACCACTGCAGTCAAGGTCATGGGTTTGGTCTCTGTGTGGATCAGTTAGCTACTGTCAACACGCTGCCCCCTGCTGGTCATTATAAAAATCGGTGACCTTGGTCTGGCACAGTAGGTCTCAAACTGATCCAGGGATCCCTGGGGCGGGGGGTATCTCCAACACCTTTCAGGAAATCCACAAGGTCAAAACTATTTTCATAATAATAATAAAATCCTGCATCCTATCCTCTCACAAATATACAGAAAAGGATAAGTTCATTAGTATGGTTTCAGATGCCACATTAGAACTAATCTTTAAGAAAATACCATCTGTTGAATTCTGGTACAGTATGAAAGAAGAATATCCACAATTAACTGGAAAGACTGTGAAAATACTCCTCCTTTTTCCAGGAGTACATATTTGTGAGAGTCTAGATGTCTTTCATGCACTTTAACAAAACCGCATAATCACAAAAGATTGAACAAGAAATCAGATATGAACATCCAGCTGACTTTTGTTAAACTAAACATTACATAGATTTTAAAAAATGTGATACATAGCTGTTATTTTCACTAGTTGCTTTTGTTCTGGAAAATATAGCTTTTTATTACTTTTTATTTTTATTTTTAAAATATTTTATTTATTCATGAGAGACAGAGGGAGAGAGAGAAAGAGAGGCAGAGACACAGGCAGAGGGAGAAGCAGGCTCCATGCTGGAAGCCTGATGCGCGACTCGATCCCGAGACTCCAGGATCACACCCTGGGCCAAAGGCAGGCGCTAAACTGCTGAGCCACCCAGGGATCCCCTGGAAAACATAGCTTTTTAAATAAAATATGTGAGCATCTAATATGTTTATTGTTTTTTGATCAGTATTTCACCTTTATGGCCAAATAATATTCCATTGTGTATAGATACACCATATGATATCCATTTATCAATTGGCAAACATTTGAATTATTTCCACTTTTGGCTGTTGTGAATAATGCTGCTATGAACATCCATATACAAGTTTTGGTGTGGGCATGTTTTTACTTCTCTTGCATATATACCTAGAAGTAATTTCTGGGTCATATGGCAATTCCATTTAACATTTAAGGCACTGGATGCCTCATGGCTCAGTCAGTTAAGTATCTACCTTTGGCTCAGGTCATGATCTTAGGGTCCTGGGATTGAGCCCTACATCAGGCTGTCTGCTTAGGGAGTCTGCTCCTTCCTCTACCCCTGCTACTCCCTCTGCTTGTGTTCTCTCCCCCTCTCTCTATCAAATAAATAAGTAAAATCTTTAAAAGAAATTTAAGGCACTGCCAGACTAATTTCAGTAATTTAAAATAAATTCAGTAATTTTTAAGAGTATGAAGGATTCCTGTGTTTGAGATCTATTGGTCTAGATTGGATTGGACCAGGGGAGTGTGGATAACTCAGTGCAGGCTTTCATCTTTGCTCTGGGATTGAGTTCCCCCTTTTTTCTCCCCCCAACACACACACACACACTCTCTCTCTCTCCTTTCAGAATACGTGAGCAGTAGTAGCCTTATACTAGATAGTCCAAGAGCTGGTCATAGCCTTGATAGCAAGGAGAAAGGCAGCTGAGCTAGACTATACATGTCAAACCAACAGGAAGTTCTGGAGCAGGGTTAGCTCCCTGCAGAATTCCCAAGGGTACCATCTTCATCGTAGTCCTGGTGGACTGTGCCAGGGTACCCCTACAGTTGTACAGGGTGGCAGTCCTGGCTGTAGCTGCTGCTCCCCACCCTCCTTCCTGCTCCTTCCTGCTCTGGGGAGCACTGTGATGGCCAGCAGAACATGCTGGGGAGAAGAACCCATGAAGATGGCCAATTTTAGCTGCACCATGGGCCTGGAGGTGCCACGATGGGTCCCCCAGGTTTGAGAGTGGTATAAGGGTTCCCCGGGTTGTCTAGATGCGTGCACCCTGGACCTAGCCCCTCCTGCTAAGCACTGTGCTCAGTACAGTAGGGGCTGTGCTTGGGAGGAGCAGAAGTCAGGAGGCTGCCAGCCAAGTTGAAGATTACTGAGATGTGCTTCTTCCCCCCTCTTTCTGCTTCTGACTTGTGATGTCCTGCCAGTCATGTCCAATTTGGTCACTTAGCTACATGAGCCACCTAGTTAACCCTCCCAGAATTACGATCCTTTTGAAAGAGGAGCTTTGAGGGAATAGTATTTAGTTGGAGGATTCTGATGGCAAGGCATCCACAGGCGGCCAGGTTTGGGGATGCACTGGGAATGCCTGGTGCGTGAGGGACCCTAGCTGCCATCTGCACCCCAGCTGATGATGTGCTCTTTGTTTTTCCCTTCTCACCTCAGATGTGACTCTCCGTCCTGGCTGGGCACTCTAAGCCATGGCTGACACCATCTTTGGTAGTGGGAACGACCAGTGGGTTTGCCCCAACGATCGGCAGCTCGCCCTGCGAGCCAAGTGAGTACCTCCAAGGCCCTGCCCGGCCTTCCCTTCCCTACCTCTCCCCAATTCCCTTTTTTTTAGGGGCAAGACTCAATATCAGGGACTCAGAAAGAGGCATTTGGAGACGAGTGCATCTCTAATGCACACCACACTCCAGGCCCCGCGGTCAGCACTTAACAGCCATTCACTTATTTAACTGCCATATGGAATTGACCCTCATTTTTACGAGGAAGAAAAGGAGGCTGAGCCCTTTGCCCAATGGCAGGGTTGGGACCCACACTTAGGCCCGCTTGTCTCCCATGGCTACAGGAGGCTACAGGGGATCAAACCACTTCCTCTGCCTTCTCTGCTGAGAGTATAAATCCCCATCACTGAGCTTTTGGTCCCCAAACCCCCAGAGGCAGGAAGCCTTGGATACCTGGATACCTACTTCATGGTGAATGCCTGGCACTTACAGGACAGAGTAAAGGCTTGTTAAGTGAACGAAGTGTTGCCGTCTGGGCTGAAACACACAGTCCACCTCGAAGCATCCCCAGTCTCCTTTGTGCCCTGTCAGGGTCTCTCTGGTTCTTGTTTTTCCCTTAGGATCCCAGTTTTCCTGTCCCCCCTGCCCCATCCTGGTGGCCTCTCAGATGCAGTTAGGTTAGGCCATCTCTACCTACTTTCCTCCCGTGGCCAGAGGCCTGGGCCTCCTGGATATGCCTTTCCTGCCTTTCAGTCTTCCCCATCTATCCAGGGATTTGGAGGTCCCTGATGTCTGGTAAGCCCAAGAATGCCTCTCTATCTGTCAAACCATGCCAATTATGGAAGCCAGCATTTCCCAAATGGGACCAAGTTCAAGAAATTTGCAATTAGATGTTATAGGCCTGCAGGGGGACAGAGCTGAAACATCAAAGACAGATAAAAAAACTAATCCAAAATGCCCAAGAGTTGAATCCTGCCTCATTTGCAGGAATCTCTGTGCAACAGTTAATTTGTTCCTCTCACTGGGATGGCTTAGCTCTGTTTGGCCACTGGCCCCCATAGGGGAGAGACCAGGGAAGAAGCCAGCCCCTCTCCCTCTCTGCTCTGATCCCAGGCAAGATAATGTGTCCTCCCTGACAGGATACAAGGAGCTGGGGAGAGCTGTGCTCTTGTACCAGGGCCTAGTGTGACCCCTGGCAGCCCCTTTGGCATTTCCATCAGTTCTCCCTGACCTCGTCTTGCACTCAGCAGCAGCCAGAAGCTGTTGTAGCATCTTTGAGTAGAGCAAATGCTTTTATCTCCTCCCCAGGGTGTGCTGCCTTGTAATGCCAGGCTCCTTGTAATGCCAGGCTCCGTAAAGGAGAGTACTACAAATCTTGCATCTGGGTGCTGTGCCCTGAGGGTTCCTCTGGGAGATCCGGGGAAGTTACGTTCCCTGACTTCAGCTCAGGTCTGTCCTCCAGAACCATCAGACATTTTCTAAACCCCTACTATGTCCCAGGCACTGATTGCACAGCAGTGAACAAGATGAACATGGTCCTTCATCTTAAGGCACTGATGGGGAGACGTGAACATTATATATGTAATTACCCATGTGTAGCTACTTCTACAGTGGAAACAGGCAGTGGAGTGAAGACAGATGCTGACTTAATCTGGGGGTATATAGAGGCTTGCCTGAGAATGTGATGTTTGAGTCTGGAAGAGGGATAAATATTAGATGGACATAGGGGGAAGGAGATTCTAAACAGAAGGAAGAACATGTGCAAAGGCCCTGAGGTAGAAGGAACAGAATGAATAGAGGGCCTGACAGGAGGCCCGTGTGGCTTGAATGCAGAATGAGGTGGTAAGCAGGGTAAAAGGAAGTTGAGGAAGTGGGCAGGGGCCAGATGGTGTAGCACTGGTCCTCTAGACACATTCTAGAGGAAGAGACAGAGGATTCCACCTGGCCTTGAAATAATGTTTAATCCCCATGATGGACCCATGCTTGGGCCTTCTGGGAACTCTGAGAATGAACTCAACCCGTCTTGAAGGTGATCTTCACCAGGAATCTTTTTTTTTCTGCTGGGAGCCCCATGCTAGACTCAATCCGAAGACCCCAGGATCATGCCCTAAGCCAAAGGCAGACGCTCAACCACTGAGCCACCTAGGTGTCCCTTCATCAGGAATCTAAATGAAGTCCTTTTTTTAAAGGTTTTATTTATTTATTTTGGGGGGAGGGCGTGAGTGGGAGGGCTGGTGAGAGGGAGAGGGAGAGAGAGAATCTCAAGTAGATACCACACTGAGCACGAAGCCTGACAGGGGGCTCCATTCAAGATCATGACCTGAGGGATCCCTGGGTGGCGCAGCAGTTTGGCGCCTGCCTTTGGCCCAGGGCGCGATCCTGGAGACCCGGGATCGAATCCCACGTCAGGCTCCTGGTGCATGGAGCCTGCTTCTCCCTCTGCCTGTGTCTCTGCCTCTCTCTCTCTCTCTGTGACTGTCATAAAAAAAAAAAAAAAAAAAAAAAAAGATCATGACCTGAGCCAAACCCAAGAGTTGGATGTTTAACTGACTGAGCCACCCAGGCATCCCCTAAAAGAAGGCTTAAAAAAGAACAGGAGTAGCCTAGTGGACAGGAGGTTTGGGAGGTGGGCAGGCACTGCAGATGGAGGGTGCAGCATAAGCAAAGGCTTGGCTGCAACCCAGAACACAAGGAACTAGGGGCAGCTTTGGCAACCTGTGTGAGGCCAGGGCAGCTGAGAGATAAGGGCACTGTATGGGGGGCCGTACAGATGGGGGGCGCCAGGTGCCACTGAAGATTCTTCCTTGGAGCTTACAACCACAGCTACATTTGCCGGCCAGGAGTTGGCCACCTTTGGCAGTATGGTGGGGCCTTTAGGGGAACAGGATGCTCAGAGGCAACCAAGGCCAGATGTGGGAATTGCAGTCTGACTGGACAGGAGCAGTGGGCCAGGGGAAGAGGTTGAATGAGAGGACAGATTGTCAGGGCTTGGTCGGTAACCAGATGGAGGCAGAAAAGGAGGCTGAGAGGATGCCCCAGGGAAGCCTGGAGGGTCTGGCAACAGCCACTGGCCATGGACTCCTTGGGTCAGGAGGCTGGCCAACCTCTGACTTGCCTTCACAGAGCCATCTAACTGCTCTCAGCTTCTTTACCCCACTGAGAAAAGGAGAGGCCCAAGGGGAGGCCTGCCTGATAGGATGACAGGAGGGTCTGGTGCAAAAGGAGGTGTCCCATGCCCTGGACTGGCACCATGCCCACAGCTAGCTGGGTAAGAACTATACTCCCAGGATGCAGGGTGGTGCCATGCCTTCCCATTTCTGTGCTCCTTGGCCTGCCTTTTCCCTACGTGGTGCGGCTCTGAGCTTGAGGACCCTGTTTCCCAGTTCTCCTTCCCTGGCCCAGGGGGTCACACATGGAGGGCATCCTGGCCAATCACTAACTGCCCGGTCCCTCAAATGCTCAGGTGGAGAAAACATGCAGGTTGGGATGGGAGCATGTTCCTTTTCAGGGCCTAAACCCATTGAGTCGGCCCGGGAGATGGAGGAAAGGTGGGTGTGTGCTCTCCTGCCCTTTTCAAGGACTGGCCTCCCCTCCTCTGTCCCCCAGCTCCACTCCTTTCCCATTGTTGGCATCCCCCAGCCCTATGAGGACTGCTCCAAAAGTATTGATCTAGGGCAATGCTGCTTTTTTTTTTTTTAAAGATTTTATTTATTCATAAGAGACACACAGAGAAAGAGGCAGAGACATTGGCAGAGGGAGAAGAAGGCTCCCTGCAGGGAGCCCAATGTGGGACTCAATCCCAGGACCCTGGGACTACGACCAGAGCTGAAGGCAGATGCTCAACCCCTGAGCCACCCAGGTGCCCCTAGGGCAGTGCTTCTCTTTGAATTGGAGACATAAGCAGTCTAGAAGTCTGGAGACCTTCAGTGCAGCACATGACTATTATGTCTTTGCACCTTTGCACATGTGGCTTTCTCTGCCTGCACATCGTCTCCTTCTTTCCATTGGCCAAGTTCCTGTTCATCCTGCAAAACCCTTCATGAGCACTGCCTCTTTGGTCTAGCCATTCCTGATGGTTCTACCCATGAGAATTACAGTAATCATCATTAACCACCACTGATTAAGCAATTGGGCATTTGCTATATGCAGAGCACTTTGCATACCCTGCCTCATTTAATCTGCATGGCTTCTTTTAAAGAGACAGATCAGGTAATCTGGGATGAGCAGCTGCCCATTCTCATGGCTGGGAAGGGACAGAGCCTAAGATAAGACCATCCAGTAGATTCCAGTCTGAGCCTCTCAACTTAATCAGCCTGCTCTCCTTACAGAGAAAGGACATGTTCTTTAGCTCCCCTAACTTACACAGTGTCAACAGTCCATGAACTGTTGGTTGCAGTAGCTCGGATCAGGCAGTGATATGAGACCACCAGTGTTAGCTCATGACAGGGAACCACCAGGAAGGCGTCCACATCCTCATCCTCCTGCCCTGTGTCCCGCATTGAGGACCCTTGGTTGCTGTCACTTCTTCTTCTTCTTTTTTTTTTTTTTAAGATTTTATTTATTCATTTTATTCATGAGAGAGAGAGAGAGGCAGAGACACGGGCAGAGGGAGAAGCAGGCTCCTCACAGGGAGCCCAATGCGGGACTCGATCCTGGGACCCCGAGATCACATCCTGAGCCAAAGGCAGACACTCAACCCCTGAGCCCCCCAGGCGTCCCTGTTGCTGTCACTTTTTAGGGAAGTGGGTTTAAGGAAGTAGGGGCTGCCCTCCTGCCCTTCAAACCCTCTAGTTTTCAAACTGCTCTGTGCATCTCCTTTTATATTCAGGGTTCATTTTTAATCTAATTACCATTCTTTCCTGTTCCATAGTAAGTTCCATTTCCCTTATATGCCTCAGATCTCTCTCTTTTTTTTTTTAAGATTATTGATTGATTGATTTGAGAGATGGAGTGTAAGAGAGAAAGAGAGCATAAGCAGCGGGGAAAGGTAGAAGGAGAAGCAGACTCCCTGCCAAGCAGGGAACCCGATTTGGGGCTTGATCCCAGGACCCCAGAATCATGACCCGAGCCAAAGGCAGATGCTTAACCAACTGAGCAACCCAGGTGCCCTCAGATCTCAGCCTTGATGACCTTCTATGCTCTTCCTTCAAAGCCCCACGTGCTGTGGCAGTGGCCTTCTCTGTTTGTCCAGTGGGTCACACCCCATGCTCCTGTCTCTTGCGGTGCTAAGGTGGCACTGCCATCTTTGTGAGGCCCAGTGGCTGGCAGGTGGTCAGAGCCAGCATTCGAAACCTCTGCCCTGTTCCCTGAACCCCTCTCCCTAACACACTGCACCTGAGCTGTTCCCAGACTGTTCTCAGCAGGGGCTTTGTGATGTGGCACTATGGGGAAGCCTGAGTTTGCACTGTGGTGGCCTCAAGGCTGGCTGTGTTCTCTCTCCAGGCTGCAGACAGGCTGGTCTGTGCACACCTACCAGACAGAGAAACAGAGGAAGAGCCAATGCCTCAGCCCAGCCGAGGTGGAGGCCATCCTGCAGGTCATCCAGAGGGCAGAGCGGCTGGATGTCATGGAGCAGCAGAGAATTGGGTAAGGGCTGCTTCTGAGCTGGGGTAGAAGCAAGATCCTGGAGAGGGAAGCAAAGTCCTTTTGTGTCAGATCCATGGGCTGAGAGTGGTGCCCTGAGTCCTAGTGACTGCTACCCCTGGGAATGAGTCTGCTCTGCCCGAACACTCCTGAGGTGTAGATGTGTAACCCAGCCCCACAAAGCCTTACTACACTCCTCTGTAAGAAGTGGATAGTGGCTCCTGTGTGGCCCGGCCCCAGGCCGTGGGGGGGATGAATGAGCATGGTGACATGCATCAGGGGCTCTTCACCTCACATACAGGAAGGTCGGCTGTGGTTCAGCCAGAGGAGGGATTCAAGTTGGAATTGAACCTAGACCTCCGTGTCCCAGTGAGGGTTCCAAGAGAAGAGCTGCTCTCCAGCATGTGTTCTAAGCTCTTCTCCTGGCCCCCTGCACCCAGAGCTGACTTCTGTACAGCCTTCAGACAGTTTGTTGTGTCCATTGTTTAATTACAAAAGCAATTCATACCTCCTAGAAAACTGGAAAAACACAGAAAAGCACAAATGCAGTGCACTGCACTGGGCAGGAATTCATTTGATTCTGCTCTCCTTGTTCTTTTAGTCGTCTTTTAGTAGTCTTTTGTTTATCAAATGTGAGATCATTTAAGAAGTCAGACCTTATAGAAACGCATAGTTCTAAATGTGAAAGCACCACTACAAAGACCACTGCTGCCCAGTTTGTTGTATGTGCCTTGATAATGCGGACATACTAAGGGCAGTTTATTACAAAAATGGTGTATATCAGACAGACTGATTGTCTTTAGCTCTTTCCTTATCTAAGCTGGCTAACCCTGTCCCCTGCCTAATCCTTCCAGGATCCTGCAAGAAGCTGTGCAGCCCCAAGCTCATGACTGACATGCCAGCACCCCCTGTGTCCCTTGGGCTCCACCAGGAGGGCATGCTGGGAGCTGGCAGGGGGTGCTTCATGTAGGTCCTCCCACGTAGCAGGAAGTTTTTGCACCCCCTCATCCATCTGTCTGGCCCCCATTGTGAACACTGGTTTTGACAGAGCTAAGGAATGCCCCAGAAGGCAGTGCCTCAGATTAAATGTCTCAGAAGGAGGAGGTGTATCCTATGGGTTTCCATGAGTTAGAAGGCATGGGCTGTACTGACGTGGGCCCCTGAGAGCAGGCAGTTCAGGCCCGAGCTGGGGCTGGGCTTCAGCAAGGCCCCTGGGTGAGAGACAGTGGAAGGGACCTCTGTGGAAGTCAGGAGTGCTTGCCAGAGGGCATGTAGGGAGAGGCACCTTCCCCTTGGCCCCCCAGGGAGAGCCTGATCACCTCAGGGGAGAGTATAGGGTTGCTATGAGGTGAGGACCTAGGCGTTGGGAACCACCTCTTAGGAACTATGTAATTCTGGTGGAAAGTGACTTTACATCTCTGGACCTCAGTCTTCTTGACTTTAAAATGGGGGGAAATAGCATCATCCTCCCTGGGGGATTGAGATAATGTATCTGTGCTCTGTCCTCTGTTCGTTCATTCAGAAATTTTCACTGAGTGTCCCCTGGGTACTGGAGATACAGGCCAACAAAATGGAAGTGGCCACCAGTTTTGTGAGGGCCATGGTGTTGCCATGAAAAGAGGAGTCATAGTGGGCTGAGAGGCCATGGGACCCTGAGGAGAGTCACCTACCTTGGCTTAGCAGGGTTCTGGGATGGGCTCCTGGACACTCAGCAGCACAGGTTCAAAAAAAAGCTCATTTTTCTTTCTTCCTCCAGCTGCTTCTTCTACCCACTTGCTCAAACCAAAACCTCTGTATAACCCCAGATCTCTCTCTTACCTCCTCGCCCCCTATCTCCATGGATGTTGCCTCTGTCTCCCAGACTCAGTGCCCATTCACTGGGCCTCCTACCACCTCCTGCTGGCTTCCTCACCTGCCCTCCCCCACTGTAGTCCTGGCTTTCCATGGCTGCTGGAGTGAGCTTTTAAAAATGCTGCGCGAGGGCAGCCCGAGCGGCTCAGCGGTTGAGCATCTGCCTTTGGCTCAGGGCGTGATCCTGGAGTTCCGGGATTGAGTCCCACATTGGGCTCCCTGCATGGAGCCTGCTTCTCCCTCTACCCATGTCTCTGCCTTTCTCTGTGTGTGTCTCTCATGAATAAATAAATAAAATATTTAAAAAAATAAAAATGCCACTTGGGGACACCTCGCTGGCTCAGTCAGAAGAGCCTGTGACTCTTGATCTTAGGGTCCTGAGTTTGAGTCCTGCATCAGTGTAGAGATTACTTAAGTGAATAAATAAATAAATATAAACTTTAAAAAATTACAATAAAAATTTTAAATGTCCCTTAGATCAAATCAGCCCTCTAATTAAAACTCTTCAGTGGTGGGGCACCTAGGTTGGCTCAGTGGTGAAGCATCTGCCTTCCACTCAGGTCGTAGTCCTGGGGTCCTGAGATCAAGTCCTGCATCTGGCTCTCCGCAGGGAGCTTGCTTCTTCCTCTGTCTATGTCTGCCTCTCTCTCTCTCTGTCTCTTGTGAATAGATAAATAAAATCTTAAAAAAAACAAACAAAAAACTCTTCAGTGGCTTCATGTTGATCTTAGAAAATAATCTAAATTCCATTCTGTGTCTATAAAACCCATGTAATCTATCTGGTCCCCTCCTCATCCCTCCAGCCTCCTTTTATCCCAGGCTCTGGCAGGCTCACAAGGCAGTGGCCACACTGGCCTCCCGGCTGTTCTAATGTGCCAAGGCCTTTGTCTTTGCCCCCTGCCCTGCCTTCCCTCTGCCTGGAGTGCCCTCCACCTCCACCTCCACTTCACCCTACCCCCACCCCTGCCCTGCTCTTTACCTGATTTGGCCTTGTTATCCTTTAGCTCTCAGTTCACATGTTCTCAGAGGGGCCTTCACTGATCACCACCTGACATGCCCTCCCCACCAGTCTTCTCCCCAGTCTGGAGCTGTTTCCAAGATACTGTATCTTCCTCTTTCCTTTGTTTTTCACTCTAGTTTTCCTGGTACCTATCTTCCATGTGTTTTAAGCCTGAGTTATTTTGGTCAACAAAACAGAGATAGAAACTTCCGTCCTGAGATTACACTGGGTGAGACACTTATTTGATTTCATAGCACTTCCCTTGTCTGAAGTCAGTTTGCTTGTTGACTTGTTTATGGACTTTATTAAACGTAAGTTCTGTGAGAGCAGGGATCATGTCTGTCTATCTCTGGCTTGCTTGCTGCAATATTCCTAGGGTGTGGCATGTTGTTGGTACTCAATAGTTGGTGAGTGAATGAATGATTAGGAGGTAGCCTGGAAAATAAGTGGGGCAGGGAACAGTACCCCAGGTGAGGGAACAGCACATGGGCCATGGTCTAGTGCCGGGGCCCTGTGGCAGCCATACCTGGGCAGTGGTCAGGTTGAAGATAGGAAACATTCCATCTGACTCTGTGTGTCCTGTGTTGCAGACGCCTGGTGGAGCGGCTGGAGACCATGAGGCAGAACGTGATGGGGAATGGCCTTTCCCAGTGTCTGCTCTGTGGGGAGGTACTGGGCTTCCTGGGCAGCTCATCAGTGTTCTGCAAAGACTGCAGGAAGGTAAGGCCCTTCTCTGGCTACCCAGTCTGGACCTGTTCTGTGACTTTGCACCCTGGCTTCCATGAGTGTATGTTGTATGTGTCTGTGTGTGTCCATGTATGCATGTGTATGCACATGGTATCCTGTGCTGCTCGGCAAGAAGAATTAGGGCCTAAGGTTGAATGGCCTGGCTTCTAGGGCCAACCCTGGGGAGTGGACCTCTGGATCCCACAGGCCTGGGTATAAATCTAGCTATTTCACTAGCTGGATGACCTCAGAAAACTTGTCTAATATGTTGAGCCCTATCTTCCGCATCTGTAAGATAGAGATAATGATAACATGTACCTTAGAAAATCATAAAGATTAATTATATGCATAGGTCTTAAAAACTTTGGCACATAAGTACTCAGTGAATTTTATTAGTCATTATAAAGGAATAAAATTCTCCTCAGGACCAATCATTGTGCTAGGATTATGCTCCTTATTCTCTTGATCTGCTCTTGACCCCTGACCCCTCAAATGAGAATGATCTTTGCTGCAAAGTCAAATGGATTTTTCCCTTTTCTTATACTCCACTGATTACTCTAAATTATGCCCCATATTAAATTGTTACGTGTTGAGTCCAAGACTTCTTTAAAATAACTTTTTGTTTTTTCTGGAGTTTCTAATTGTCTTTTCTTGTTGACTCAAGTATAATATGCCTTCTAATCCTCAGGATTATTTAGCATTTCAATTTTACTCTATTGCGTGGAGCCTACATTTTTTCCTCCCTTTTAGACTTAGTTCTACTCCAGCATAGACTAGTTGCTGCATAGCTGTTATCATGGTCTTCCCTTTACTGCCCTCCTAGGTTAGAGAGCTGTTTCCAAGATACTGTATCTTCCTCTTTCCTTTGTTTTTCACTCTAGTTTTCCTGGTGGAACCAAAAACAAATAATGATCAAATAAATAAGAATATTTCAGGAAATAAATAGTACATTCTAGGAAGAAATAACAGGAAATAGAAGATTGGTGATAGGGCATGGTGGGGTGGTTAGAGCTGAGAGGACCATGGAATATAGAGAAGACAAAGAAGTAAACATGGACTTAGCCACATGGAAGTCGTTGGCAACCTTATTAAGATCATTTTGAGTGGCAATTAAAAGCTGGATGAGAGAATCCAGATGCAAAAAGGTCAATATACCAAACTAGTAAGTGGAAAAGCCAGGATTTCGGCTAAGGTCATTTTTCCCTGTTTTGTAACATGTGGTGAAACTGGGCTAAGGAATGTGGATTTGCTGGTGAAGGGTCCCAAGAACAGTGGAGATGTGGGAGGGGCCTGGATGACAGGATAAGGGTGGGCACCTTCCATAGTCCCTGAACTAGATACTAACATAGGCAGCAGGCAAAGAGACTTGGAATGTCTTGCTCCCAGCCCTTGGGTAGATTAGGTTATACTTTGTGACTTCTGCCTGGGAGAATGGGGCCCAGCAGCCTGTTTCCACTCTCTGCCCCTCAACCCCACTGTAAATGCTGTAAATGTTCAGGTTTATAGGACCATGATGAAGGAGCAGAGCCTTGTCTCTTCCTCTAGAAAAGTCTAAGACGTCTGCTATTGGGGCAGGCTGCTGTCCTGACTGCCAAAGGGTCCTTGGAGAACCAGGCAGTCTGGGACTGCCACTGTTGTCTCCCCTCCCCTCCACCCTTCTAGATGCTCTTGACACTCGCTACCCCATGATACCCTGGAACACTGGGCTGGTGCAGTTTGAAATTGTTATTTTGCAGCAGGCTGAGGACCTAGTCTTGGCTTGGGCAGCAAGGTGAGGAGGCCTTTAAGTTTCCAAGAGGAGTTGCTCCTGGGTAGAAGTGGGAGGAAAGGGTGCTAGCTGGGGCCACAGCTGAATAGTGGGCATTGTGCGTTTTCTTCTCCATCCTCAAAAAAAGCATGTCATTTGTTTGCTCATTCATTCATTCTGCGAATAGTAGAGGGCCTGCTGTGTGCAAGGCCTGTTCTAGGTACTAGCAATAGCATGAATGAGAGAGACAAAACCCTTGCTCTCATGGTGATTTTTTTCCAGGAGTGGGAGAAGGGAGACAACAGACAAATAAAATACTGTCAAGTAGACTGAGGGCTCTGTAGTAAATTGAGGGCAGTGTGGTAGGGTATGGCCAGGAGTGCCTCTCTGAGCTCAGACCTGAGCACAAGCAGGAGCCAGTTCTGGGAAGATCTGAATGGAAAAGGGTTCCAGGCAGAGGAAGCAGCAAGCATGAAGTTCCTGAGGTGGAAACCCACTGGGCATGTTCAAAGAGCTAATGAAGGCATCAGAGACCTGCCCATCACACAAGAGCTTTGTAAGTCAAGGTCAGGAGTTGAGATTTGATTCTAACCTTCATGGGATGCCACTGGAGTGTTTTAAGCAGGGTGTGATGTGATCTAATTTGTCTTTGTGAGGGATGAGCCTAGCTGCTATCTGGCGAGTGGATTGCAGGGGGACATAAAGTAACAGTGGCACTGCCTGTCATTAGGGGTGAGACAGTGGGGCTGGAGACAAGGTAGCACAGTGTGGGGGTCACATGTTAAGAAAGTGCATCTTTTCACTGTATCTGAGCAGGTGGGTGATTGAGGGTCCTGGGAGGAAAAGCAGGTTCTAGACTACAGACAGGCCAGAGCAAGGGATCACTTGGTCCATCCCGTGTGATGGGTGACTGTGGTCCTTCTGGGCTTGCCAATAAGTGCCGTTTCAGTGCCCACGGGTATGGGTTGCAGCCCCAGCTGGACTACAGCACAGTGACCTCATATGAGTCACTTAACCTCTCTGGGCTTCTGTTTCTTTAACTGTAAATGGGATAGGAAAGCTACTTATATCACCATTGGATGGGTGTGAGGAGGAGATGAGCTAAGAGGGCTCATCTCAGGCTCAGAGGAAGCCTTTAGCAGAGTGTAGGGTCCATTTCAAACACCCAGTATGGGATACCTGTTGCTGTTATTATTAAATCCACTCCAAGGTTCTAGCTTTTGAGACTGCCCACGTGTTACAAAGAATGGAACTGACCTTTCACAAAGCTCCGGTAGATTTGGTGACACCACTGGTCTTAGCTCAGGCTGCCATGACAAAATGCCACACACTGGACAGCTTCAGGAACAGAAATTTTTTTCTCACTGTCGGCCGATCGACTTTCTCGCAAACCCCCATCCTGGCTAGCAGACTGCCGTCTTCTCACGTGGCAGCAAGCCAGCTCTGGCCTCTCTCTTTTTATAAAAGGACACCAGGCCTCCTGGATCAGGGCCCCAGCCTTAAGACCTCATTAAACCTTAATTACCTCCTACAGAACCTGTCTCCAGGACAGTCACAAAGGGGGTTAGGGCTTTAATATTTGAATTTTGAGAGGCTACAATTCAGTCCATAACTCCCCACATTTTCCTTGTTATAACTCATGTTTTCTTTTTTTTTTAACTCATGTTTTCTTGAACTTAAAATTGAAGTTCCCCACAATTAGTCTCATATTTCTGATAATTTATATAAAACTCCCAGATGTCTTTTTAGCCCTCCAGCATTGGATGTCCTGAGCCAACAGAGAGATGTACAGTACCTCATATAAATGTTAACACTCAGTCACTTAACTGTTGTGGGCTAATTCTGGGTTAGGGGAATCCAAAAGGAGAAGTGTCTAGAACAGTCATTTCCCTCAGGTCCTGATGGTCAAGGTGGGCACTGTATTCTCTAGAGTGGTACTCTACCTGGCTGGACCCAGGTTCCAGGATGAGAGCAATTGAGAGATCTGCCTGTAGGAGCTGGCTCCTGGAAGCTGGGTGGGCTTCTGAGAGGCTGAGAGTAGCACAAAGGGTGTTTGGAGGAGGGAAGGACAGCACAGCAGAAGCACAGAGCAGGAAACAGGCTGGGCATAGACCTGTCTGTGAGGATGTAGGCCCTGAGGGCAAGGAGAAGGGGGCTGAAAGAAGGAAGGACCCAGGAGAAGGCATCAGATTTGACTTGGGAACAGGAACCTTGGGGGAGGGGCAGGGCAAGATCCTGGGGACTGGAAGGCCTGGGGCAGAGCTGAGATCTTTGGGAAGGAGAAGGGGGTTGTTAGAAGGAAGAGTTATTTGAGGACCAAGCTGCATTTGAGCAGAGTGGGCAGGTCTATAGGGCATTAGGTCCACCAGGAAATAGTCAAAGAGATGCAGACAAATACCCTGGGGTCATTCTGTCAGATGGTGGTCACTTAGGAGCCAAGTCCCAGAAGAGTCAGGAGCAAGGCCCAGACTTAACCTTACAGCCCTTCTGAACATCTGGGAGTGGAGGGACAGTGGCCTCCATTCAGTCATCCAGCAAGTATTTATTGTAGGTCTGTGTTTGGAAGCCCTGGGAATACAGGGCTGTGTGTAAAGACACACAGACCCCTGCTCTGAGAGGGGAGTGTTAAATGGTTGTGGATGATTAATTGCAGTTGTTATTGAGGTTACTGAGGCAGCCCTGGGGGCTGAGAGAGTCTAACAGGGCACTGGACCTAGTGGGGGTACCTCAGGAACCCTCTACTCTGGGCTCACCAATTTCTGAGGAGCTTCCCCTGTTTATCTCCATGTCCACCTTCCACCTCCATCCCTTTTGCCTGGAGCCCTGGGTGCTGGGAGGTGTGCATGCAGGGGCAGGCTGCAGAGAGGGGATACTGGGAGATTTCTGACATGGGATGCATCTAGATCTAAGCCTCAGGTGCTCTTGGCCACATGGAGCTGCTGTCCCCAGCAAGAGCCTTGGTGTATTTAGCCATAAGCTAATGAGTGTGCCAGTAGAGCCTGTGATGCCAGTCCTTGATGCCACGTCTGTCCCCTCTGTAATTGGGCCTGCACACCCAGGCTGCCAGCCCTCATTATCGAGGGCCGTGGTGGGAAAGGAGAGGGGCTGGCTGGTTAATTAGAGAGGCCTGGTGCTTCTGATTGCTTAGACGCTGAGTCAGCCAGCCTTTGGTTTGATTGAGAGTGTTTTCACCAACCATGGGGAGCCAGACAAGGCTGCAGGAGAACCAGCCTGAGCCCCAGATGGC